CTGCAGCAGCAGCATCGCCAGCACCAGCAGCACCAGCAGCAGGAGGTCTTTGCTGATGGAAAGGGGTACAGGGATGGGCTGGCAGGGGGTCAGGGATGCGGGCGGGAATGTAGGTTGAGCTGCTGCTGGAGAAAGGCTTAAGTGCGAGCAGGAGAATGGCCAAGGACGTTGCTCAAGTTGCTCGCGAAAACAGCTGCGACGTCGTTGCTGGCACAGTGGTGCCAAGTCCATTGAGCAGCAATGCAGAACAAATTTAATTTTTATATTTTACGAATTTCTTGATTAATTGGGGAATTTCAATTGACATTTCTTTGAGTGCAACAAATATGCAGCGAATATTTTTATAGTTAATAAATTAATAAATAAATTAAATTAAATAAATAAATAAATTAAATTAAATAAATTAATTCTAAACTCAAAGAGAATATTTGATTTTCAAGCAAATTATTTAGTAGAATTTATAAGCCATCGAAATGGCCACCGAAAAGGTTTAAATTTGAATACTGTTAGAAAAGTAAAACCACAAATGGAATATAATTTATTTAAAGACTGTTAGGGGTATTAAATATGTGCCTGTGTTTAAGCTTTTACTTACGCACATTTGTAGCAAGGTTCCCAGACCCTGGCCACTGTCATCAGTTTGCTCAGAGCGGAGATCTTTAGCCAGCTCTTCAACAGATCGCAGCCACCTCTTGCGGCAGTGCACTTATATGTATGTTTTATATTCAATATTTATGCTAAACATTTTCATTTGCCTTACAATGTGCTGCCGCAGCACTGTGCAATGTCTGGCAATGCGCTGGCATTCAAATAAAAAAGAGTTATATACACACTCAGACTGGTAGACTGGAGACGCGCACTCACAAGAGCATGCTTTACGGGTGTATATATGTATCATATGCCACTATATATATACATATATATATATATATATAATATCTAGATACACATACTCGTGCAGAGAGGGAGAGAGAGAGAGATGTGTGTGTGTGTGTGTTGTGTGCTGTGTGCAAAGAGCAGCTTGGAATGCATTGTGGCCACCGCATTTGGGGCAAATAGTTTTTGCTCCAGTTTGAACTTTAAGACAAAGTTTTCCCCCACACACACACACACATACACACACAGAAAGAGCAAAAGTGAGATGGAATGAGAGAGTGAGCTGGTTGGTAGAAAGGTTTTTCGACAACTTTAACCGAAGGTCGTTGTGCTAGTAAAAGTTTTTCGGGACAAGTTCAATTATTATGCCAGAGACTTTTGAGCGGGGCTGCCACTGCCTCACATCTCTCACACCCTCTCATGCTTAACAAAAGAATATTTGCAACATTTTCAAGGTTATGCAACGGTTAAAGTCAACTTAAAGTGCGCTTCTAGCTGGCCAACACATGCATACATATTTAACCAGGCACTCGCAGGCACTTGTCAATCCGATTCGTCCCCCAGAGAGCGGCAACGAGGAGGGGGGCACCATCGATTGGAATTGACCACAAAAGTCGTTTCCTCTTCGAGTCATAACTTTGCGACAATTTAACAAGCCCCCAAAAGCCGCAAAGGCCAAAGCCAAAGCTAGAGCCAGAGCCAGAGCCAGAGCCAAACGAAGAAGAAGACACTGCCAATCGGCTTCAAATGGTAAACGGCTTAAGCCACGTTTACACTGTACCACAAGAGGAGTTGTCCTGAGGCGAGACCGCCAGTTGGTTCCTTTGCCCTCTGAAAAGTACTTTCTATAATTTTAAAATCTCTCCAAATTTAAGCAGGTGAATTGCAACACTGCTGCGCTGGAGTTCAGGGCATTAGCCAACACTAGCACGGATGCTCTTCGATGTGGCTCATTCCCGCAGATGCTGCCTGCGTTTGTCGCTGCTTCTGACAGTGTAAACGTCGCTTGGAACTGTGTCTGAGCGCAGATATTGCGGCAAGTTAGCAATTCTCCAGTCTGAACGCCACCGCCACCATTGGATTCTCCATCTCCATCTTCGGGGCAATACAAACCGATGTGATGTCCATGTACAAACCGCACAGCAATTGCCGCAGCGGCAGCAGCAGATGCAGCAAATAACAGCAGCAGCAGCAATAAAAAGTACAAGCAAACTGTTCGATATACGAAGTAGAGGATACCCCCAGCCGCCTTCCGATTTGATGGCTGCAAATTGTGTGCCTGACCTCTATTAATTCTAAATTTAATCATATGAAACGTACAGAGGCCAGCCATGAAGTTAGTCAACGGAACGCTGCTTAAATAAATGTTTTTTTCCTTATTTATACGAGAATTAAATGCGAGCATTTAAGGCTCTTCTATGAGAAACAAATGTTAAAAAAATCAGGAATTATTGTGTCATATATTCTTGTTCTCGCCACGATTACAGGGTACGTGAAACAGCAACAACAGTTGAGTGAAATGCCTTGACATTGCGTGTGTGGATCTTGCCTCTGCTGCTGCTGCTGTTGCTGCTGTTGCTGCTGAGGGTAATTGGCGTGCGGTGGCCACAGGAGAAGCAGAGGAAGAAGATGATGTCTGACAAGCAGAGAGATGCAAAGAGAGCGCTGAGCGGTGAGCGGTGAGCGCTGAGGCACGGTGAGGTGAGTCTCAGGGAGACGCAACAAACGCGTTAGCAATGCAATTTATGTGCGTTTAGACGCATATTTTGCCAATTAAATATTGCGATAAAGCATGCAGCCTATATACAGCCTCTCCACAGTGCAGCAGCACACGCATGCACAGGTGAGGCACACAGAATGGGGCACACAGAGTGGGGGCAGGCAGCAGACCCACTGATAAATGCCGCTGATAGCGTTGCTGACGTTCGCAATTTGGTTGAAATTTATTTGGAGACCGCCGAACGTTTCGTCGCCTCGTTTGTTGTTGCTGTTCTGTTGTTGTTGTAGTTGTTGTTGAAGTTGTGTTGTTGAACATTTTATAGTTATTGTTGGTGTTGGCGTTACTTGTCGTAAATAAATAAATTAATTAAATATACATACAAAATAAATACATAATTCTTGTGTACATAAAATGAATACATTATTATTTTATTTATGTTTTGTGCATCTGCAGTTGATTTTTTAGAAATTTGTCAAAATATTATTGTAGTAGTTTTTGTCGTTGTAATTTGCTTTTTTCAGGCAGTTGTTGGTTTTGTATTTTTATTTTTGTAGTAAATATTTAAAGAAGTCGCTGCATAACTTTTTTGTTGTGTTGTAGAATGTTTTTTTGTTGCTCAAGATTTTTGTTGAAATTTCATTGCAATTATGGCGATGTTGTGGATAAAAGTGTAACCAATATTTTTAATATTAAATGTAATTTAATGTTTTAATTTTCATTCAATTTATTTATTTATTTTCAATATTTTATTTTTATATTAATTTTTATATATGTACATATATATTATTTTTATATATTATATATTTCCAGTTCTTCAGCTCTTCAGTATTTTTATTTGTTATAAATTTAATATATTTTATTGTTATTTTCTAGCTATTCCCTCTGCAGTTTATCATAATTGTTACTGCAGTATTTGTTTGCTTCCTTTTTTCTGTTGCTGCTGTTGTTGCGATTGTTGCGATTGTGCAACGCACTTTGTGCGTTTTCAAATTGACATTCATTCAATTAAGTCCCAGCACAGCACAGCATACGTATTCGTTGAGCGAGCAGTTTGTTTTCGTGGAGTCTTTGCTGGCCAGGAGGAGGTTGCACGCACAGCGTTGTCCACTGCTGCCAATGTCTGCCGCTGCCGTCTCCCCATTGTCCAAATTCTCCAGTTTTTTGTCTGCCTGTCAAATGGTGCAATTGGCCAATAGTCGTGCATACCCTATGCTCGAGGGAAAGCGCGTGGGTATGCGTGTTCCGGCACCGCAAATGCTCCCAAAAGCAGCTCCAAAAATATGTGATAAATCTAGAAGAACTATTTTTGGTGGTTTATGCACAAAAAATGCTGCATTAATGTTACCCACTTGGCACTCTGCACTTCACGCTAGAGTATTCAGATTTCAGCGTTTGGAGTGAAACTAAAATGTTGCCTTGTGGCCTGAGCCAGGCCGAGCGGCTGACAAAACATTTGACAAGCGATCGCCGTTCGGCAACATGTTGCCGCAACATTCAGTTGCACCATTCGCAGGGGCAGGCAGAAAGGAAAAAAAAAAAGCAGCAAAAAAAAAAAAAAAATCATTTCATTCTCTATGACACAAATGCAGCGGCGATATTCAAATCCTTGGCAGCCCCAAACTGACACACTGCCCCAAACGACAAGCACGAGGCAGGCTGCTGCATCTGCGGCTCTCAACTGGCTCTCAACTGTGGCTAAAACCCAAGTTGAAGACGTTGAAATGTTGCGCATTTTGATGGTTGATATGCGCATTTGGGCAACAACACGTCAACCTGACCAAAAAAAAAACAAACAAACAAAAAGTAAAGTATATATATAGAAATGTGGTTGAGTTCATAAATGGCCAAAACAATTTCTTGGCGTATGCAAACAAGCACAACGACTGACTGACTGACTGACTGACTGACTGGCTGACTGACTGACTGGACTACTCGTCGATTGTGGATGGTTTCTGCAGCAAAGCCAAAAAATGTGCACAACAAAAATTACACAATTAGCAGGAGATGTCAAACAATTGTTGGCATACATAAATATATGCATACATATTTAATAAATATATTTAATAAATATATGCATACATATTTAACATATTTAGCATGGGTCTCACGGACACTTAAATCAAAGTCAAACTGCAAGTTTTGTGCGTAGAAGAACTGCCAGGCGTTTCCTGCGTATTTATTGTGCCATAAATATATTTTAAATTAGCTTATTAACTCCAGCAGCAACCCGCAAATAATTGTTTATAGGATCTATGTCATGGCAGCCTGATACTTTTGCTGCTGCTGTGGCACACAAAAGAGTTAGCGCATCTTTTGCACATTTATTATGTGTTTACAAATGTAATTTTTAGTTTTTAAATCGAGCTAATTCACACATAAATATTAATGCTGTACGAAATCGACACTAATCGACACTGTGGGGCTGATTGAACTGCTTCTGCGCATCCCCACGCATCAGAAGGCTGTAGTCGGCGACCATTAGATCGTAGAGCAGCGACTCAACGGCACCCTCGGCGCCCGTTGCCAGCTGCTGCATATCCGTCTGTGTGATGTCCATATTGAGTTTGTTCAGCACACGTACATTGAATATCTTCCAGTTCTCGACCATTCGGGCCACGCTGCTGCGTGGCGTGTAGCTGTGCAGATCAACCACTTCGGGATGGATCTTCTCAAAGACCCGGGCAATGGCCAGGGCATCGCGAAACTGATTTCGTGTGTGACGATCCAGCTTGATGTCGTGCGTCTCCAGCCAATGGTTCAGCATCACATGCTCCATATCGTTCAATTTTGAGAGGCGTGACAGGTTCGCTTCATCCATTTTGCTACCAAAAAATTATTTGAAATTATACACAAAATTTCTACAAGCTACAAAGGCAAATGAGTTTCGGTTTCAAATGTGTGTCGAGAAGTGTCAGACAGGGCAGACTTGTGACATTTGAGCAAACGAACACTTGAAATAATCTTTGATTTATTCTCGATGTTCATGCAATGATCCAGGAATTGTTGTTGTTGTTTTTCTTGTCCTGGGGAAAAAAAAGGTTTCCATTAGATTGAAAGATTTTTGAGCAGTTGATTTTTCTGGTTTTTCTGTTAGTTGGCCCACGACCAAGAACCCTGCCACCATAATTTGCGGCTCATCAGAGAAAGAATTTACCAGCCATGCCTGGCCCTGTCCCTGGCCCTAGCCCTGTCCCTGTCTCCAGCCCTGTCCCTGTCCCTAGCCCCGGCCCTGTCCCTAGACCTGGCCCTGTCCCTGTCCCTGGCCCTGTCCCTGTCCCTATCTCCTATCCCTAGCCCTCTCCCTGTCCCAAGCCCTATCCCTGGCCATTTCCCTCTTGCATTCTTCTTGTTCATTCCGCCTTGTATCATTTGGCTATTAAGAATTTTTCATAATTAGAATGTAATCGCAGTCGGTTAAAAGACTCCAACTCCGTGCAGACTCCAATTAAATGCATGAAAACGAGAAGCGAACGAAAAAATACAAAACACCCGATGGTAAAGGGTGGGGGGGGAGGAAACAAAACAAAAAAAATATGAAAATTAGCTGTGGCCCCCAACAATGACGATTTGCGTAGAATAATCCGCGCTGGCAAATTATGCAAAAAGTGTGAGAGAGAGGGGGGAGAGATGGAGTCTAGTCTTTCCCCCAGAAGAACCAACTTTTATTTATCATAATTGAGGTGGCAATTAAAATGGAGTGTAGGGGATGTGCCAGGTAGTAGTGGCTGGATCTGTGGAGCGGCAGAGCGGGAACTGATACACCGATCCCCGAACCCCGTCCCACACTTAATCCAAATCGAAAGCCTCCATCCATCCATCCATCCATCCATCCATCCATCCATCCATCCAGCCATATTGAAAGTAATTTTAATGGTTTCGTTGTCGAGGCCCTGAACATCGTTTTAATGCTCACCTCCCCTCGCAGAGTAAATAATTCAATTTATTTTACTTCTGCGGAGTTTGGTTCTCTGTGTTCGAAAATGAAATTAAATTAAAAATGCATTTTGGGCGAGCAAATGAATTAAGCCATCATTCGTCCCAGTCGCAGTCGCAGTCGTCACGCAGCAAACTGCAGCTAAAGGCTGCAAGAAATGGCCAAAAACGTGTTGAAAGCCATGTGTGGCATGATGGCCTGGACCCTCCAAAGGGGGGGGTACCACAGTTCGCTGTCTCTCCCAGTCTCTCGCAGTCGCAGTTCCCCAGTGCCGCTTTGCCGAACCCCATCCCCACTGCCATCCCCGCCCACCACCCCTTGGCGGTGTTCAGTTTCCGAGCGAGCGAGCGAGCCGGTGGCCTGCGGCTAATTAAATGGCCAGCGCTGAGGCATTTTAATGCTTTTGATATTTTCATATAAATATTTCAAGCAAAAAGAGGAGCAGACAACGCAGTCGGTAGGATTCGAACCTACGCTCCCAGAGGGAATCTGATTTCTAGTCAGACGCCTTAACCGCTCGGCCACGACTGCTGCGCTGACACTCCACTCCCCCAACCCATCGATGGGCAAATGCCTGCCTCTAGTTACACGATCCGTCTATAAATAGATCATTAATAATTTAGGCAAATGTTCTCAATAGTCATGGCAGACTGCATAGACGATTGTCTCTGAGCAATCTTCCACTTAAAGATAAGTTCGAGTGCAGGAATTTTGGTTTCGGTTTCAGTTAAAGTATTATTGATAAGCGAAAGAATTCTCCATAATCGCAGCTCACAGATATATCTGTTCTCCGGCCTGTGCCAAGCACCATAATTCCCCCAGCGACTAGCATTTGCAGTTCCAGAACTTCTTTGCTTTTATTGACAGTAATTTTTCTCATAGAAAACTTCTGTACATATCAAATTGTGTAAACAAATAAAGCCTGCTTTTATTGGTATATATCTCGTACCTGTTTAGATAATATTCGCTCCTAGCTACTGAGAATTGCCGCCTCAACAACGCACTCTGTGCGCCACATTGTTGTGTACCAAGCAGTATCAAGCTGTGCCAAACTGTGCCAAACTGTGCCAAGCTGTACCAAGCTGTACCAAACTGTGCCAAGCTGTACCAAGCTGTACCAAGCTGTTGCGTTGACTGAAAATCCCCAAATAAAATTGCAATTCGGAATACTTCTATGTGAAAGCTGAGATCCCAGCAGTTCTTCCTTAAAGGATCGCCTAAGGCAGGGCATACAAAAGTAAAAAAAAAAGAGCAGCTGGCTAAGCAAACTATCAAAAAAAATAAAACGAAAATTGGATGCATCCAATAGACTCCGACAAATGCAATGCTCCAAGGAATATTCACAGGGCTAATTAACTATAATCGAACATTTCGAACTAAGGCAAATCCCTCCCATACCTACACATATTAGTTAATGCATATATAAATCGATTTATGTACTCACAAGTCGTGGCCAAAATTATCCTTTATTCCATGGATGCAACACACACATAATTACAGCGTACATATGTGTGTACATATGTTTAAATTATGGCTGGGTTTTTGGTTGATATTTAATTGGTTTATTCAAGGCTTTGGGAGGATGCAAGAGGTCCAGCGAATCCAGCGTGTGGCATGTCCAATTATGTCAGCAGCACTGAACAATTCGCTCTAATGGCTGCAAAATACTTATTATAAAAGCTCAAATGCATATATACAAACACACAGCACATGCATACATGCATACATACATACATATATACCTTACATACATGTTGTGCGTTTTTTAATTGAAGTAAAGCCAATCAAAGCTGAAACGATCGCAGGGCTATTTTTTTTTTTTTGCTTTGGATGGTGACGATCTGTGGAAGATTCAGCAATTTGTGGCCTTCTTCTTGTTTACTTTTGAATACTCAACTGCCACACACAGAGAGAGTTGGAATCAGCAAAAGTCAACTGGATATCGATACGCATTTGGATCGACTTATTGCTGGCTGCCGCTGCTTCGCTCTGCACAGGCAGTGGCCGAGGCCGAGGCCGAGGCAGAGCTTTTGCGGAGCTTTAGCGTAGGGCGCGCTTCAGCGCTTAAGCTGCACTGCTTTCTGTGTCTTTCCATTGATCTGCTTGCCCACAAATAAGTCTATTTGGTGCAAGTCTAGGCAATTAATTAGCTTTATGTCTATGCATTCATCCATGCACTTATCTACATTGTTTGCACGTCTTATCCGCAATCAACACTCTCTCCAGGCAGCCATTAAGCCTGCAACAATTCGCACTGATCGAACGCCATTCATCATCTTAACCATTTTATAGATTCAATGATTAATCTCTGGGTAGATCTGATCGCAACAGCGGCAAGCAGCCAGCAGCCAGCAGCCAGCCAGCCAGCAGCTAACCAGTGCCCCGGTCCATGCCCACTGTCCACTGTCCACTGCCCATATCCATTATCCCATTCCGATGGCCAATTCCCATTCAAGCCGAACAACGAACTCCGATCAGAGCGTAATCAATTACATGACCACGCACATTGGCTTTGATCATTTGGTTATTCGAAAAAAAAAATATCAGAAAAAAAAAAAACAGAAGAAAAAAAAATATAAACAAAAACACTTTCAACCAGAGCCGACTTTGGTGACAATGCGTTGCAGATAGCCCACCCCCTGGGCCCTGCCACACTGCCCCCTGCCACCCTGCACCTTTGCCCACTCCGATCAATGCAATCGCGATATCGATAACCGAGCTCCCCAGCCCCAAAGCTGCTGCTGCTGCTGCTGCTGCAGTTTTTAATGTGCACCTTTTGTTCTGTGGCAATTGCAACTGAAAACTTGCAACTCGAATTGTACCAAGAGGAGCAGGGAGGCATATGGTGTGCTGCGGGTGGGGGGGCACAGGGAGCAGGGAATGGGGTGTACAGAGGTACAACGACTACTGGCTGCCGAAATGTCAAATGCCAGGCCATATTTCTTAAACGCCAAATACTTTTTGACATAATAGTCCAATTACCTTATCGCGCCGATCTGAGATGCGGTCGCCGTTGCAGTTTCTCGTTGTTCATGTGGTTGTTGCAGTTGTTGTCGCCGCCGACACCGCCACCATTGATGCAGCAGCAGCAGCAGCAGCACTCGGCTGGGCCGCTGCAGATGGAGCCACAGCCACAGCCAGAGCTGCAAACGGAGATGGAGATGGAGCTGGGGCAGGAACAGCAGCAACAGCAGCAGCAGCAGCGGCAGCAACTGTGCGATTATTTATGGCGATCAATGTTCGTGGGCCCAGTAGCAGAAATTCCATTTAAATTGCGTACAACAACAACAGCAACAACAACTAAAGGAGGAAAAAAAAAACTACAGCAACAATAACAACAACAACATCAAGTACAGGGCCGTGGCAACAACAATTGTTTTTATGGTAGGCAGCAAGCAGCCAGCGTTGGCGGCGGTGCCTCTGAAGCGGCAGCAGAACACAAACCCAACAACAGATATAAAAAAAAAAAAAACAAAACAAAACAAAAAATATATATATACAGGAACCCAAAAGGAACAGCAAACCGTAGCCAAGTCAGAGCCGAGCCAAAAGCGAAGAAAACCGCTGAAAGAAAGTGCGGAGTGGATTGAGCATCTGGCGGGTTTCAGTTGCTTTATAAATACATGCAGAAAATACAAATGCATGCCAATAAAGACAATCTAATAGATGCAGGACAAGCTAATATTTAATATACATATTTAATATATAATATTTAATTTATATTTCATTTAATATATTTAATTTATATTTAATTTAATATATTATATTTAATTTATATTTATATTTCATTTAATATATTATAATTAATTTAAATTTATATTCAACTTACTATATTTTATTATTATTATATTATATTATATATTATTAATATACTATATTTAAAT